GCCTGCTCTACTTCTGCGGCAAGATTGTTGTCCCCCGGGACAAGGACCTTCGCCGCCGGATCTTGGAGCAGCACCATGACACCCGGGTCGCTGGTCATGCCGGCCGCTTCAAGACGTTGGAGCTTGTCTCCCGGAACTACTGGTGGCCCCAGCTGTCCCGTCACGTCTGCCGGTACGTCGCCACCTGCGATCTGTGCTGCCGGACCAAGGCACTCCGGAAGCTTCCGGTCGGGGAGCTGCACCCGACCGAGGTTCCCGAAGATCGCTGGAGCACGGTCTCGGTCGACTTCGTCGTCGAGCTCCCGGAGGCCCACGGGTACGACGCGATCATGGTCGTGGTCGATGTCCTTGGTAAGCGCGCCCACCTCATGGAGTGTCACACCCAGATCGATGCGATCGGCGCCGCCCGGTTGTACTACCGGAATGTCTGGAAGCTCCATGGTGCGCCAGAAAAGTACATCTCTGACCGGGGTCCGCAATTTATTGCGGAGTTCACCACCGAGCTCTGGCGCCTTATCGGCGTCAAGCCCGCGACCTCCACGGCATACCACCCGCAGACTGACGGCCAGACCGAGCGCGTCAATCAAGAGATGGAACAGTTCATCCGCATCTTCACCAACTACATGCAGGATGACTGGGACGACCTCTTGCCGGCCGCCGAATTTGCCTACAACAACCACATCCACTCTTCCATGCAGCAAGTCCCGTTCATGACCAACACCGGCCGGCTCCCCAGGATGGGGTTCGAGCCGAACGGGCTGCGTTCGAAACTTGAGTCGGTAAACGAATTCTGCGACCGGATCGCCTCCGGTGTTTCCGAAGCCCGATCCGCGCTGGTCAAGGCCAAAGAGGAGTACAAGCGGTACTACGACCGCCGGCGCACCCCTGCGCCGGAGATCAAGGTAGGCGACCGGGTCTGGCTCGACGCGTCGGACATCCAGACAACCCGGCCGTCCCCCGGTCTCTCGCACCGACGGCTTGGCCCCTTCAAGGTCATCAAAGTCGTCGGTTGCGGTGCATACAAGCTGGAACTCCCGCCCCGGCTCTCCTGGCTCCACCCGGTCTTTCCGGTCGTGAAGTTGGAACTCGCGGAAGACGACCCTTTTGAGGGACGGCCCGGCTACGACGAGCTGGCTCCGGTCCTGCCGGACGCACCCGGTGAAGCTCCAGAATGGGAAGTCGAAGAGATCCTTGATGCAAAGGTGCGCTGGAAGTCGCTCTACTTCATGGTGCGCTTCAAAGGGTACGATGACTCGCACAATCAATGGGTCAAGCACTCCGACCTCTTCGCCCCGGAAGCTGTCGCCGAGTTCTACCGGAAATACCCAGCCAAACCACGCACCATTGCCGTCGCCGCCTTCGACTCCCTGCCCTTCCGGGATCCCTCCCTTCGCATCCGGTCTATGCGTCGGGGCGCCGCATTCCAAGGGGGAGGGTGATGTCAGGGGAACCCCCGTCCCGACCCCCATCCAGAGCCCTTCCGGCCCCTCCGGTCCTTCCGGTCGCTCTCCCGGTCACCGGTCCACCGGAACCGATACCGGAAGCTGGCACGTGACCCGCCAGGGGGACCCCCGATGGCACCTCGCATGTGACCGAGCCCGGGACATCTGCCGATCACTCCGGTCACATGGTCTTAGCTAGTAGCTTACTTATACCCACGGCTGACGTGGGAATCCTCAGAGTTTCTTCTCTTTGGACCCCCCACGTCAGGTATGCTTCTCTGTATATTTAGCTACTGTCAATTAACCTTTGGACCCCCCACGTCAGTCCCTGAGTACCTCGAGCCTTCGTGGTTGCCCTTACACCCACCACTTTGATTGAGAAAGAGAATACTCTGCTTTGCCAGGGTGAGAATAACCTAGGTTCACACCATTCAACTTCCAAAGAATCACCTCCACATAAGCTAATGGCGGAACTCCTGCAGAGTCCACACCAGTAAGGTTTGGAGGAAGCTGTTCAGTCAGACTAGAAGTTGCTAATGGAGTAGGACGAGGTAGACGTATAAGCAGATGAGAAACTGGTTACGGAGGGGAAGAATGACTACTGAGTTATGGGACCATCGTACACCCGCGCCAAGGCAGTACAAGTCGGTGTGGATGTACGAACCTGACCTGTGTTCCGCATATGGGGAAGTGCTGGTGCACTACACAAAATTCTGTAAATATTTCCTGTGGTCGTCCGAATCAATCAGAACCCCATTCGAACTATACAGGTGACCCTTTCATACTACTCTCTCAGAGGGAGCACCTTAGAAATTCCTTGCAAAGCCTTGACCGCGATCTCATCCGCAAAGCGGTGGGACACCAACTGCAGACACAGTGGCACACCCGCAAACGTCTCTGGCTCATCTAAAATATTGTTGAGTTGTTTACTGCTCAAACACTGGTAGGACTCACAACAGGCGGAGTTATAAGTGCCTGCTTCGCTCATGTGCGTGCGAGAATCCATGTCCTTCATGTCTAATGTAAGGATGCCATCCCTTGCGCATTTTGAATCCGAATCGAATGAACTAATTCCCAAGGCAAATGGACCGGAATTGAGGGCAGGGCGAGTGTTCTAAAGAAAACGAACAAAAAACACCCAAAACGGCAGAAATTTTTGTACGTGTCTGTTGTACTGCAAACGGCTGTAATACCGCGGGTACCAGGGGGAAAAAAAAAAACTAATGGCCAATATTCGGCCAATATAGATGCCAATATCCAACCAATATTTTTCCAATAGAGTGTATTTCATTCGAATATTGAACCGAGGTTATTTGAACGTTATCCGGATATCCGCTGCCATTTTTTTGGGTCAAACTCCGGTGTCTGCGGGCAGACTGGTGGCTGTCAATTAACCCTTTGGATCCCCCACACCAGTCCCTGAGTACCTCGGGCCTCCATGGTTGCCCTTACACTTGGCTCGTAAAGCTATTTGGATTTTTCTGACATCAATACAAGCCCTTCACTGATTAACACCCGAGATTACGTCCACAACACTTTATATCCTCACATTGTCTCTCCCAGAAAAAAACTACGTGTGGGGGAGCACCTGGAAATCTCTGGAAGTGAATATCAGTATCTCGTCAACTGATTTGCGGGAGCTCTCACCTGAGGCCACTTTACAATGTGGTCTATGATATCTCCATCAAGTAGGTTGTTGTAGTGATGCACTCATTTATGAACCTGTGGATCCATCGCCATCTGGTAACAAAGTTCGGAGAGGTCGAGTATCTCCAGCTCATGCAGTATCCTGCCGCTTTTCCCACATTTATCGATGAGCTTCAACCATGACCGGAAACATCATCTTCAATCAAGCAATTTTTTTGAGGGAACGTGACCGACAAATCAATCCACAAGTGGCCACCGGTAATAAGGAACTCTTTTAACGTGATGAATCCAAAGAAGCATCAGGCTCTCTGTGGTATTTTTCTGATCAGAATACAGGCCTCCCGCTCTGCAAGGAGCGTTTAAAAAATCCAGGGGTGAGTCTCCCGGTGGGAAGGGTAATTCAAGCAGTTCATGAAATTGAACAAAGGGTTGAAACACTTGATAATTCCTTGAGAGGGCGGGGAGCCGAAGGGCTTCCTCTAGGTTGCAGAGCTGTGGGTAGAACAATTAAGCTTGGAGGACAAACAGAAATTCAGGATGTTTTGAGAGGATCGCAGTATATATTGGATTGACTCTCAATGTTGGCGAGCTTTGTTTTTTCGCCCAACCTCAGATCCAACGTAAGGGAGCTGGCAACAATGAAAATGCATTGATGGTCCTCCCAGAGTTGTATCAAGTCTGATGGGTATGGTGAATCCCTCTTAAACTCAAGGATTAGCCAAGGAATCTACATGACAAAGCAGTATACCTGAGGCCATGGTGTGACAGGGTATATATACATTGTGGCTGTGAAGAGGGAGTGTTCGAAATCTGGGTTACGCAGAAGAGTGAACAGGTAGGCAGAGGGCGTAACCTGTCCGAGGATGATTGGCAACGAAAATTTGTTCAAGAAAAGTCAACCCAAGTTGACTTACTCGACTCAACTAAAAAATTGATTTAGGCTGACTTGACTTGGAGCGACTTGACTTTCTGAGTTGTGGCAACATTAGAAGAGTGACAGAATCTGTTAGTAATGGCAAAGACAGGAAGTGGATCATAGAGTGAAGGCAGTCTGAGGCACACCACAGCCCTGATCACCGTGGATCACCGAGATAATCAGCGAAGGACGTGTGCAGAATAGTGACCTCACCCAACCAGCCACTAAACCGTGTGGGAATTGGCAGGATATGGACCAATGGGTGTAAGCCCAGCAATGTAAGACGGCATGTCCCTGGACGCAAGTTGAGCAGCATATCAATGTCTTCCAGATTCATGTAGGAAATTCGATTTTGCCAAATTGCATGTAGAATGCAAAGATTCTGACGCTCTTGCGGCATCACAGAAAGAATATTGGTATACAAGTCATCAAGCAGAGCTGTACTGGCCGGATCAAGGCTCAAAAGCGAGGCTAGCCAGTCCGCTGGATGACGGTATTCATCGCCCACAAAACAGATGACGGTTGCTGCATATATGAAAATGCCACAAGACTTCTTGACCAAGTGATCAAGTGCATCCTGACCAGGCCAAATAGCTCCTAGGTTGATTCCCCTGGACATACAGTCGGAACAAATCTTAAAAAATTCGCCCCGCAGGTAAGTTCTAATGTCGTCGTACACAGATTGATCGGCAGAGAGTGCAAGAGGACAATATATTGGGGACATTTCCTTTGTTTCTAGGATTTCCTGAAGGTGTGGTTCAGGGCAGCTGACTATGAGGATGTGTATTGAAAGATGGTGGTGCTGAATTGCCCCAATGAACAGTTTAAGAATTCGTTGCTGGACATCATGATCCTCGCATTCATCCACCCCATCCAAAATTATGAGAGGAATTATCGGAGGAGCGGGAATTGCACTAAGTTCAAATCCCCTTTCGACTTGGTGCAATTTTACCAAATTGAAAATAAGATTATAAAAGACAAAAATGGCAAAAGAATGGCATCACCGTGGCTTGAACACGGGACCTTCAGATTACATGAACGCCGTGGATAACGCATTGCTTCAGTCTGCTGCTCTCCCAACTGAGCTATGACGCCGATGAAAGTTGATCTCCCGCTGGCATCTAGTCTAGCTGGGCACGCACATAATAGCTGCGCACAAATAAAGCAACACTTGAATCTTCCTTTTGCATGACCCACCTGCTTTCTCGGGCGCAGGCAGGGCCGGTGCGCCTCCTCCGCCTCGGGGCGCGCTCTAAAAAGACGCGGTCCGCGTACTATGTTCCCCTCCCGTCCTCCTCCTCGTCCAGCAAAGGCGGCGGCGGGAAACCTGCGGTCATCCAACGCGACGCGATGGGCCGCCCGATCGTCAAGCAGCGCGAAAAGTCTCTTGGGACGTTCAAGGCGCTGCCCGCGGGGGGGCTGCAGCACGAGCTGTTTGAGAGCGAGGATGATGGGCCGGGAAGGGTCGGGCTGGATGTGCCTGTGATGCTGCCGCGGATGCTCGTGCCGGGTGTGGCGACGAGGTTCCATGATATGGACGCGAGCAGCCCGATGAGGGTCTATGGTGTCCCCAAGCATATGCTGCTGGAGGTCCTTTTTCTCCTTCTTTTTCCTCAATAAAAACTAAATTTTCGCCAGTTCCGCATCCTGGGCGCCCCAATCTCCATAACCACGTCCACCACGCTCTCCCTCATCCGCGCCCTCGAAGAATCAGCGCAAAATTCCAAGTCGCAATCCCTTGTCCTCAACGGCCGCTCCGGCACGGGCAAGTCGTTCCTCCTCCTCCAAGCCGCGCAATACGCCTCCTCCTCGCGCACCTGGATCGTCCTCTACATCCCCCGCGCCCAGCGCCTCGTCGACTCCTCCACCCCCTTCGTCTACTCCCTCGCCACCCGCACCTACCTCCAGCCCCGCGCCTCCGCCCAAATCCTATCCCGCCTCCAGCGCGCAAACGCACACATCCTCCCTCAGCTCTCCACGCGCACCGCCATCACGCTCCCCGACAATGCGGGCAACTTCCCAGCGGGCACGCCGCTCCCTACTCTCATAGAGGCCGGCGTGACAGCGGAGGCGATAGCACCACACCTCCTGGAAGCGGTCATGCGCGAGCTGGGCGAACAGGAAGAATATCCAGTCTTGATCGCGATAGACGACTTCCAGGCTTTGGCGGGCCGCACCCTCTATAGGGACCCGCGCTTCAAGATGGTGAGGCCACACCATTTGAGTGTGCCGAGGCTTTTGTTGGAGTATGCCGGGGGTAAAAAGAAATTGGTGCGTGCCTCCTTCCCTTCCCTTATATCATAGTAATATTTGACACAGAAACGCGGCCTAGTCCTCTCCGCGCTCTCCCGCTCCGACACACAGTTCCCCGTCCCCCCGCAGCTCGCAGACGCCCTCCGCCTCCCGCACGATTTCGCGCCGACCCCCCGTGGGGTGGGGTTGCGGCGGAGTGCGCAGCTGGCGGAGTATCTGGAGGGCGAGGTCGAGGGTAAGTTTTTCTGCAACTTCGTGTTTTTTTATTGCTCACATCGTTTTTCGTTCTAGAACCCATCCCCTCCTCCTCTTCCGTGGACGATCCTCTCGCAGACCCCTCCCCATCCGCCGGCGCAGAACAATGGACAGGCTACCGCGCGTACTCTCCCCCGCTCTACGAAGACGCCCTCTTCGCCTCCGCCACCGCCGCCCAGCCCTTCCCGTCCGCGCGCCCCGAAGAGGAGGTGTGGAAGGGGAAGGTTTTGCGGGACGAGATCGACGAGCCGGTTGTCAACGAGGTGGTGGAGGAGGGTTTAGAGGAGGGTGCGGAGGGTGCGGAGGCCGTCGCTGCGGAAGGTGAAGTTGAAGCAGGGAAGACGAAGAAGCTAAGCAAGAAACAAAAAGCCAAAGCAGCAGCGCAAGCTACCGAAGGCCAGAAGGCGAAAACGCGCAAAGTGCGCGCCTTGCGCGCGGTGCGCGTGCCGGACGCGCTGACGGTGCGCGAGGCGGCGGGGCTGTTTGAGGTGTGGATGGATAGTGGGATGTTGAGGACTGGTGAGTGTCTGTCTAAACCAATCTTTTTTGGGGGGGCGTGGATGGATACGTTCTCTTTCGACTCCATCCACATCTTGGATTGTTATCTTCTTTCTCTTTCGTATTTCACTTCGTTTCGTTTCCCTTTCGTTTTCCATGCCACCCCCAATTTCTCCCCCGTGTCGCCTGCCCTTCTCTCCTTCCCGTGGCGTCGTTTTCTTCATCTCTTTTTGCGTATCGTGTCCCTGCGCGTCCCCTCTTTTCCTGTGCGCCATCCCCTTCCGCGCTTGCCTCTATCACTACTACTTCCTCTTTTTATCCGTCCTCCGTTCTTCCCCCTTCTTCGATTCTCACCGTCCTCTGACCTGCCGATTCACTCCATTTCCTTTCCGTCCCATCCGTCCTCTCGCCCCCTTGCACACCTTCGCCCATTCTTTCGCTCTTCTCTCCCTCCCTTCGCCCATCCTCTCGCTCTCCCCTTGCGCACTCGATGTCGCCCGTCGTTCGTTGCTTCCTTCCCTTCCCCCTCTTCGTGCCTCCTACCACATTGATCACTACTACTTTGACTTCACATCGCCGCCGGAGGGCTGCGTACGGCTCCTGTCCTCCCATCCTCCCCTACCCTCTCCATGCATCCTATCGTATTCTCTCCTACTCTTCTCCCTCCCTTCCCTCCTCTTCCATCCCCGTTTCCCCTTACTTCCCTCCTCTCGCTCTTTTCCTTTCCTCCTTTCCTCCCATCCTCCCCTACTCTCCCCATGCATCCGTATTCCCTCCTACCCTCCTTCCGTCCCGCCGACTCTTTTCCTTTCCTACTTCCCTTTCTCCTTCTCCCCTCCTCTCCGTCTGCTCGCCCCCAACACGCTAACACCCTCTTCCTTCCAGGTGGCCAACGCCGCGCCCTCCGCCGCGCCGAGCTCGACACCCTCGACGAATACCGTGCCGTCAAAGCCGAGGTTGACGCTGACCCCGAGACCGCCTTCGACGAGGTGCTCGCGGACGTGCGGCCGAAACGGCCGTCGTCTTCCTCGCCTTTGAAGCAGTCCCCCGCATCCGCGCCCGCGGCGAAGCCCAAGGACGCGTTTGCGGCGTTCGCGGAGGTGACGTCCGTCTCTGCCGCTGCGAGCAAGACCGAGACCGCGTTGGGAGACGCAGCAGCCGCGCTCGCACTCGCAGACAGAGGGGAGGCGGCGGAAGTCGAAGACGAGCGTACAATCGCGGCGCTGCGCGCGGAGCTCGCGGGGCCGGCGTACGACGAGGTGCGCGCGATGGAGCAGGCGGCGGGGAGGGTTGCGTGGGCGCGGGGGTTGGAGAAGGGGACGGGGAGTTTGGAAGCGGAGCGGGAGGTGGCTACTTCTAGAGCTGACGGCACCTTGGAAGATGGCGCGCAAGCGGGTGTGGAAGTGGAAGCGCTGGGGCAAGAACAAGTGAAAGGGGGAGAGGACGTGAGCGTAGGGGGTGACGAGTTCCTTCGCGCTGTGGAGGCGCTCGATCCCTCTTCCGCTTCCTCCCCCGCCTCTGTCTCCGACGCACCCACACCCACTCGCCCCCAGACGCGCACCCCCCTCGACCTCGGCGATGACCCCGAGATCGCGCGGCTCGTCTCTGCGGGCGTGCGCGCCGCGCTCACGCACCCCGACTCTGTGGGCGAGCTGCTCCGCGCGCCGGTTGGCGTGGACGCCTCCGGGGGTAGAGGTGGAGCCGGGGGGTGGACCGAGACGGGTGTCTTCGCGAACCGCTCGTCCCCCTCCTCTCCTTCCTACGACGGCGAGGCGGACTCGCACTCCGACGAGGAGGGGGAGCAGTAGGGGAAGAAGCAGTGGAGAGCGACGACGAAGATGGGCGGGACGGGCTGGGGTACGAGCTGGAGGAGGAGACGGGGGCGGACGAGTTGTTTTTGGGGAAGTATGCGGAGAGTAGTGGGAATGCGAGGGCGTTTGTGGGGGGTTGGTGGGGACGTTGCAGACGAGTGGGTGAGGTGAGCGTGAGAGGCGAGGGAGGGAGACAACAAAAAAAAATGGGGAGAGAGGACGCGGGTGGTGGTATGGCGTAGAAGAGACGCTTCTGGCGGGGTGGTGCTCCTGGTCTTACCGCGCATTGCATAGCGGATGGCGGAGGCGGACGGTGGACGGTGGGCGGGGTGCCCGTACTCGATTCGACACTGACCTCGAGATGAGAACCAAAATTACACCACTAATATCTCATGTATTTAGACGGGTGCATAGACGGCTAATCGAGAATATGACCCAACTCATGAGCGCAAAACCATGAACGAAAAAGTCTCTACTATGCCTGTGGGAGTGCCCCACAGGTTTCCTTTCCATCGCCACCACGCAGCTTTTGAATGACTCGAGTTTAAATTTGTGTAACGTAGTCTCAATATTTATCTTGAATCCTTCGCACTGATTTTGGGATACTCTCCCAGAGTCGAAGAACTACAGTCATCCTGGGGAAATTGCATGAATCATTGAGCCAAAACTCGACATCAAATTGTACAGAAATTTTGGCATCTTGCCATCGGAAATTCGACCATTAGTCTAACCTGACCACTATGTTGAACCCGATTCCCAGCCATTCAATTCTCTAAGTATAGGTTACTTCTTGTACTTCTTATTAGGGCCCATCCGCTACAAAACCCCGCATTGCAACGGGGAGTGCGCTGCACCCCTTCAATTTTGAATACTCATGGGGATTCTGGGCCTCGCGGCCACCACTTGGTCGGAGCGCAAAGCATATGCATATTGAGTAGAATGTATTGTGGTTTCTGTTTATAATAGGGATTGCTACTGTCTGTCCCGACGGACAGACGGTGCCAAAGACTGCCATCCAGTGGACCGTTTGTCGATGGTACGGTAGCGGAGGCTCGCTTGACGGGATGGGACGGTAGACAGTCAGACGGAACTCAATAAAACATGTATAGAAAGAAACTACCAGTCAGAGTTTCATAGGATTGTAACACAATAAATATGAGGAATAGAAAGGAAATAATAAAATGAATCTTAAGTACGGAATGAGTACGAGAACAAGTGTAGGTCTGAATCAGAGCTTGCCAAGTTGTTAATATCTGTCATTGCCCTCTTGAGAGCCCG